AAAAAAAAACCATCCACGAAGGCCGGCTCCATACTTCATCCAACAACCTACCAGCATCCTCACCCATTTGCAGATCACAAGCGAGTATAGGGATTATTTCATCCGGAAGGTGCATCTCATCCCTCTCCATGACGTCTACACCAACCTCAGAATAGAGATCCCGTTGATCAAATGCCACACTGATCCAGGGGCCTAGCTCAGTTGGTAAGGCACGTGAGTGGCATTCAGGAGGTCTTGGGTTCAATCCCCATTGGCCTCATGCACCTTCCTGGGCAAGCTTGGCGCCCGCCACCTAGAGATATGCGGTTGGTCCTCCCGAGTGGCATTGAGCAAAGACTCCTGATGTTCATAAGGGGAGAGGACCGGAGCGGAGGCATAGTCACTGGCCCATCGAAGCTACCGGCTGCTGATCCCTGGCCGGTATCGCCCACCTGCTGTAGCAGTTATCCCTCGTTGGAGGCTTGAGCACGTGTGTGGCTGCTACGGGGTTCCCCGTAATACTATAATGACAATAAAAAAACGCCCGAATGCCGTCCTGTCCAGATTTGACAGGTAATTGAAGTGGTTGGCCACCTTTTTATTTTAAATAAAAAAATGCCACACTGACAAAAGAGCGCACAACCAGACAACCCCGACAACCCCGACAGGGGTGACAGGCCTTGCTCAGCCCCCATGCCAGTCACAGTTTCGGAACAGCGTGCCCCACCAGCCTCACCAAATTGCTGAGACACGTCGGCCCTCCCCCTCCCCCTCCCCCCCCTTATGGGCAACGAAAACGAGCCCACGGGCCGACAAAACGACCAAACGAGCCCTACTAGCAACCGCGGTATGAAAGTCAGTCCCCGTCTACATGACCTCTCCCGATGGGTGTCATCCAATTGAATTTTTTTTTTTTTTTTTTTTTTTCGGCTGTATTTCTGAGCCAGCGCAGCAAGTGTGCCCCTCAACAGCGGTGGCACACCACGGATGCGAACGCAGGCCCTGGCTATCCCGTCTGGCACCTGGACATCCCGTTGCCCAGCAACCCCCAACACGCACACACAGGTGTTCCAAGGCAGGCACCTGGACATCCCTTCTGGCCATGTTCGACGGTACACTGCATTGTTCGAAAGAAGGCCGGCGCCGTCCGCCAACTTAGGGCCAGATCCCACTGGAAAAGAGGATTGGAAAAAAAGTCCGAATGTGGACGTGGATGCGGACAGGTGCGAAATAAATTGTGATTGATCTACTTTTCTGGCCCTCTGCGCGGAACACGTCCAGAT